ATACTGTGTGTGTGTGTGTGTGTGTGTGTGTGTGTGTGTGTGTGTGTGTGTGTGTGTGTGTGTGTGTGTGTGTGTGTGTGTGTGTGTGTGTGTGTGTGTGTGTGTGTGTGTGTCAGCATGTGTATGCTTATGTATGTTAGGCACGTAAAAGATGGAATAATATAGTGATCTTTACGAGCACATTTCTCTATTTTCAGCAGACTTTGATAATTCATCAGAGATAAAGTTGTACAAATTGTCCTCTAAACAAGGTTTTCTACTGGTGCATACATCTTATCTTCCTGTTCTTAGGTTCTTCTCACATTCTGATGAGACATATTTTTCCAAATGACCCTGAAGGTGCACTATTGACCTACGTGTGTGTACACACACACACACACACACACACACACACACACACACACACACACACACACACACACACACACACACACACACACACACACACACACACACAGAGAGACACACACACACACACACACACAGACAAACACACACAGACAAACATACAAACCTGCTTTCAGGAGAAGATTAAGGTCACAGAGGCCTCGGCTTTCAGAGAGCAATTGTGCACTGGAGGCATGTTTTCCTACTATATGCTTTTCATGCATAAGTCTGGACACTTCACATATCCTTCCAGATGGAAAATGGCAGACATCACAAAGAATCAGAAAGCAGCCAGCAACAATTATTTGGAGTTTTATTTTTGACTTTGGTTGGAGGACATGTATTGCAACTCAATTACGCTCTTTTGTCTGCTCAATCACTTTGTGTTCAGCGATGACATTATATTATACACTAATTGTAGGTTTTTTGTGTTAATGACTGTCATCTGGACTCTTTGCTTTATTCATTGCTGCAATATTCAAGGTTCAATTTGAGGCAGCTTCAATTTTCTAAACTTCACTCTTCGTTCTGTCATTTTGTCTTGTCAGCATCACATCTGTCTATTAAAAGCGACCTTTTCTTTCTTTTTGTCTCTGTTCCTCATCTTTTTTAGCTTCCTCTTGAATTGGCTCTCTAGGGGCTGTAATAAACCTGTAGTTAGCTGTTAAAACTGTGTGCTTTTTAGACTAAATGGCCCCTAGCGCCTCTCTGCCTGCTGTTGGGGCTTACGGCCAATGGGCCTTTAAATGACCTAATTTCCTATCTGCCTCCCGGGGGACCTTTTAGGGAAGCTAAAAGCTGGTCACAGCCCTCAGAGAGCGAGTATCAGGAAAGCTCTGGGCTGGGTGGCCCTCAGCTGAATCAAAATTACTATCGCTTTAATTGCCACGGGTAATATCCATGCAGAAATGTATTGTGGTGATACTGGTGAGTTGCACACAGGGTGGTCTCTTAACAGCATTTCAGTTAGTATTTGTTGCTTTTAATCATGCTTTCTGAGAATTGTCCTTGTTGCACCTGAATTCCCTTTGTGTTTACTGGTATTTATTTATTTAATATTAATTTGTTAATAATTTTGTCCATAAAATATAAAGACAAAATTGAAAATTTTCCAGTGTGTAGGATTTAGTGGCATCTAGTGGTGTAATAGTCCCCTTCAAAGCGCAAAGTACATGTAATTTTGCTTTTTGAGTTGCCTTCACATGATGTTATTTTCAAAATAAGTCTGTAATCTGATAATTGTAACCTACCCACCACATTTGGACAGTCTAATGTTGATATCCAGTCAGAGGGATAAATGTAACCTCAACCTGTAGCTCTACTTAAATCTAGCCAGGCTTAACCTGATTTATCTGTATTAAGCTTGGCTCAATAGAGTTCTACATTTGGATCTCTCTGTCATGAGGTCTTTGTTACACATGATTAGATTGTTCAGTTTATATAATTAGACATGTCATTTGTATGAGCTCAAGCTAAATTGAGCCAACAGCTGAAAATAATTTGGCTTATTTATTGATTTTTTTTACTTTCTCTGATCATTTGACCTTGGATTAAACAGTTAAAACTGCTGGGATTCAGTTAGGTACTTTTCATTCTATGCAGACAACTGGCTTGAAAACAGCAAAGCTACCAGCTCTAATCCTTGTTTTCTGTTAAAAATATTTACCAACATCGATTTCCTCATTGGCAGTATTGTCCCTGGCTCTTATCCCTCCTTTCTGGCAATGTTAACAAACGTGTTGTGGGTATGTGCACCTGAGTGTATGCTTGCACATGTGTGCATCCCTGTGTGGAATGTTTTTTTTTTTTTTTTCAGCAGCTGTTTGCTATTCCTCTCTCAGCTCTATATATTGATGTGATGCTGTAGAATGGTTTCTTTAAGGGGAGCCAAGGCTGACTCCTGCCCTCAAGGTCACTTTTGCTGCACCAAAATCAAAAGCCCTCAGTGATTGACGCAGAGAGATGCAAGTCTAAAAGTATAATTGATTCATGGAGAAAAGAGTCCATGTGTGTGTCTGTATGTGTCCGTGTGTGTGTGTGTGTGTGTGTGTGTCCGTGTATAGGAAAAAACCTGAGACAGTTGAAGGAGTTGAGTCGATGCAGGATGGGCAACAAGAAAAAGAAAAGATCAGCGTTTAGTACAATGAAAAGAAAGAGGGTGACCAGGAATTGGATAAGTAAATGGGAGCAGGGGGGCAGACAGATGAACTGAAGGTTGTATGACTCACTGCATTTTGTATTTGTCATCAGGGTCAGAAGGTTAGAGGAGTTAACTTGACCCAGCACTTTAACGTCAATGATCCAACCAGTCAAATGTACAGGGATTTGAATGTGACCCTCACAATCAATAAGAATGCTGTCCTCCAGGGAGGAGCAGAAGATAATTCTGATTAAATGTCTTTCAAAATCCGTTGACCTCCAATGATTTCACATCAAAGGCAATGTCTTGTTGTGTTTTCTCTCACAGTTCAGTAGATTAGATGGGAGGACAAAATGGATATATAGATTTTTAGAATTTCAAAGTCATATTTGCCAACACAGGTCACATTGCATGACATTCTACCGAAGGATTACTAGCAAGAGTAGCTAGCTAGGAGAATCCATGGATCCCTAATATTGGAAGTACTACTGCTAGCATAAGCCACGTGTTTCCTGTTTTATCCACTGCTTTTTCCTTCATTGTCATAGGTACGACTAAATGCCTAATGCTCTCATACAGCCGACCAAAACTTCATCCGTGCCAGCTGAGAAGTTTCAGTGAGTTATTGGCACAATGCCCTTTTACTCCCAAGAACTATTTAAAGTTTTCTTCTGCGCCTTTTTGACCTTGCAGCCTATTTCAAATGAACCGAACAATACATACACGCCCTGATCCGTGACTTGTAAACTGAACGGTTAGGGTTTTTTACTTGAACATTTCCATCCCTAATATCCAGATATAGGACATTTTCTGGACATTGGATTGAGAAACCATTTATAGAATAAAATAAGTAGACCAGAGTTGACAAACTCAGATTTTACTTAGTACTTAACTAACTAAAATAGGTTGTAACACATCATTTAAGACCTGGAAAAGACAAGATTTTAGTCTCAGATCATCATGTTATCAACAACATGTTAAGTTTTTAACTAGCTCTAATTATCATTCTTAGCAGTGGCCAAGCAGGATTAGTCGGCCTGAGGACATCACCTGTCAAACCCTGAGTGTGTGTGTCCATTCGCACTGCAGTGATGGCAGTTAATGTACTGTAAACCATAATAAAACTATTATAAAAAAACTCACCAGCAGTCCTCTCCTCCTTCATTTTAAGTCCTCGAAAGTGTCCCCAGTTAATAGGGTTGTGTTAGTTAACAAGCCTGTGAAGTCTTCGTCAGCAGCATTATCACAGCACCGCACAGACATAGGCAGTTTTATCGGGCCTCTCTAAGGCAGTGACAGCAGACAGCTCTGAAATTAGTAGCTCAGAGAGGGAGGCAAAGAGGCAAATAACATTATTACACATTGCCAGCTGTGTCTGAACACCAGGAATACCAATATAGTGGTTGTTGTGCAGACAGACACACACACAGAGCAGAGTGTTACCTCCACAGTGGGCTCTGCCACAGACCATCTGAGGTGTGAAGTGTGTACAGGGCGCTGCGCTTCTCATTATTAACAGTAGTGTTGGCTTTGGCATCAGGCGGGAAGAGGGCAGCTTGGCTCAGCCAGCAGTCACAGCAGTTTACAGGTCTGTCAGAGAGAAAGAGGTCGACCAGAGGAGAGAATTAAAGAGCATTTAGAGCTGTGAAATAGACTGCAGACAGGAGAAGGAGCCGCTGGTGGATGTATGATGTGTTCATGTTGACTTTACTTCAGGGTTTTTATTATGGGGATCTAAATGTGTTTGCTTTATTATGCAACACTTGGCATAAAACCATGAGTCTGGGGCTGTGAGTTTGAGATGATGTGTATTTGCGGTGCTAAGTTGGAGATTTTTCCAAGGTTTAGTAGCAGAGTGGCTGGCAAATTCATGATAGCATCAGGATTTGTGCTTAGTGCCATAATAATCTTGTTTTTTGCTGTATTATTTTCTTACTCTGGCTTGCAGATGAAAGCTCAGATCTTTCACCGGAGTTCTCACCGCTGTACATTTTGTGTAGATATGTGAATACTTTCCTATTTTTTTTTTTTTTTTTTTTTTTTAAATCTGCTAGTGTAAGATTGCACATTAGTGTGACAGTTTTTTTTTTCTTCAATCATACAGAAGCATTTCCAGTGGACTCTCTGTACAGGTCACTGAAGCAGGAAGAGTCAAGAGGCCAAGGTGTTCAACGTCGGTGCAGAAACTGAACAAACACCAGGATGAATAGATTTTAAATTACAGTATAGTTGAAATCACTACGGTGTCAGACTGACTGCGGGGTCACAGTGACCTCCCCTGTTCTCTTCACTCAGACAAAACGCAGAATTAAAGGAACAATTTATAGAAAAGAGGCAGCCGCAGATGATGGCCCCCTGCGTTGTTGGAAACAATCTTCTACCTCGGTCTGGAATGACCCCATATCATGATAATTTAGAGGTCACAGGAATGATACTGACTGTTCTCTCTGTGCCTTGTTTTTTTTTTCTGCAGAAGGGATCTGTAACATGACAATGGACTCTAACTCCATGACAATGCCCATGTCAGACCCCAACGCCTGGGCAACAGCCATGAACAACCTGGGGATGCCTCCTATTGGAATGACAGGCCAGCAACTCATGCCAGGTACTGCACCACCAACCAGACAATACCCAAACCAGGACCAAAGTCTTTGTGTTGAAAAAAGTTTATATCTCAATACTCTACGGGCAAAGATACTGTACTGTACTGTACTATTATTATTGGAATTGGGTATCTTTAATTACAGACATCCTTACTCTATTTTCATCCAGATGTTGTGAAGCAAGAAATGTGACCTTTTGCAGGTTATATATACAGTATGACTTATGTTGGTTGCCCAATACCAAGTATCATTTCTTTATTTATATTGTTGAGCAATTCTACCTCTTTCTAGAAGCTTCTTATACAGACTTTTATATGTTCACAGTTGCATTTGTTAGAGAAATGATCTGAAGTGTAGCTTTAGCTCATACTCTATTCCATCATAATAATTCAATTCAGTCGGAAATTAAAACCTCAGTGAGTTATTAGATCTTTTTAAAGACTAGTTATCTTTTTGCATATAAAATAGATCATTTAAATTGACTTTTTGTTACTGTGTGGAGCAAGGTTTTGAAATGTGTTTTATGCAGTGGTAGGTTTGTTGATTTGCAACATTGTCTTTGACTGTATTAGTGTTCAGGAGTGTGTGCTGCTTTGAAGGATGAGGAAGTGGATTCTCCTCTGTGGCTGCATTGGTCATTTAAAAATACGTACGTTGGAATAAACAGGATGAGCTGAGTCACCAAGTTTGGAATGCAATGCTGTAAACAGTACAGTCTTAGGATGGCATTTATAGACAAGCAAACTGTCTGACAGGCTGATATTAATATCAGTTGGGATTAGTAAAAAAGCAGCAGGTTGTGTTTTCAACCTTTGAAGTTCTGTGTTAAGGTAAGTCTTTCTTTTGGTTGGTTAGAAAATGTTACAGGATTTTACATTGTAAGTACATTATCTTTGTCAGACAAAATTTTCCTAATTCTTGCTCCTCTGTTTTTATGACAAACATGGGATATGCACACTAGAGAGCTGAGCTTAGCTGAGCACACTACAGTGACAAAAAGGCTCCTGTCATTGGTTTAATAGAAACTGTTTAACAATTTAAAACCAGTAGGTTATGGGTATTGAAACTGTAAAATTCCATTAATTTTATTATATTTCCCATGTTATTACAACACAAAGGAGCATCTTGTAAGCACAAGGTTGAGCTACTGTATTCTGATCTAGCACTATAATATTCAGCCTTACCGATTGCTCTGCTATCTATAACATTAGGTTCAGCAGCACCCTCCCACTCTCCATCTCTGAAGAGTTATTCTGCCATGTCTTTTCTCTCTCCGCACTAGAAAGCCTTTCCCTAAAGCCTTTTATAAATCACTTCCCACTTCTTAGCCGAAATGCACTTTCATATTTGAAATATGCCAGGCTTGTGTGTGTGTGTGTGTGTGTGTGTGTAGATGCATGTGTGTACGCACTTGGAGACGAACAGTCCTCCAAATGCACTCCTCGAGAAATATTAAGGGAAGCACACACATGCATACACACTCAGGCCTGGCATATTTCAAATATGGTAAACAAAAGCCTTTCGACTGAGCAGTGAGAGAGAGAAGACACAAGCTGTAAAGGAACTTCTCATAAAGGGAAGCGGAGGAACTGAACCTAATGTTAGAGATGAAGACTGGATGCTGGACACACATACATTTCAGAGTGTGTTTTTCAGATAAAGTGTGCATTGAGGGTGCCAACTTCTCCTCTTGAATAGGGTTGGGTTCTGAAACACATCCATTTCTATACAACTGATATCTACCAGACCAAATCACAGCGCAGATGTCGGTGCCTCCAAAACAAGGCACAGACGTCTGAGCTATCTATTGAAATAGTTGCCCTCTGGTATGGACGATACAGGCAAAGGAGGCAGCACCAAACATGCCATTGCTAGAAACGTGACAGTAACTACATGTCTCTGGCAGCAGGTATCTTACCGCTAGCTAGTAGCTACCTTAAACACGGTTAAAGTGCTGAGCTAGGTGATCTTAAGTGTGGCTGTAATTCACTCGAAAGGATTCCAACACTGGGCAGGACGTGCAACAAATGTTTAAAAGCAACTGCGTGTAAAGGGCGGGGGGGGGAGAAGCATCTGGCAATGCACGGAGTGCACTTGAAAGCAGAGGGATTCACCGTGCTCGACTGCTTGTGTGACTCAGAGCCAAGCACATCAGCCAGCAGTGTGGGTGTCCCTGGCCACAGCGATGGGGCATATAGATATAAACAGTACATGCAATGTGTCATGATGACTTGTCATTTAGTGACGATTAATGATGTCGGCAGCAGCTATCAGTAAAAACACCCAAAGGATACCCAGCACTACTCTTGAACTTAATTTATTTATTTATTTATTTTTTACCAAAGACATTTTAACTTATTAAAGCAGGCCACTGGCTTTCCTCGTTTCCAGTTTACAACAAATAATTAGGAAGAAGAAACTCAAGGTTAGCCAACTAATAACATTAATGATGGCTCTTTTCGATTTTAAGTGTTATTAAGCCATGCCACTGAAACAGCATACACAACACCAGAGCGCTGAAACTAGGCATACATTATTGGGCTGCATATTTCAGTGATGTTTTTAGCTGCACCTGTGTTTGGCAAGTCAAACTGTCTCCTCTAAGAAAGGTTGATCACGCTTAAGCAGACCCAGTTCTGCCAATTTTTGCCCACAGTCATACTTCACAACCAGGTACATAATACTTTATTGTGAGTAAGAGACCATTGACACAGCAGACATTTTTACTTGTCTCCTGGTAAGCCATTACAGTGAGCCAGGATGCACAAAACCACGACCCTGGAACCAGCTTACCTCCGTAAACAGCAGTCGATATTAAAGTTATCAGTTACACCTGTTCTTTTTCCTCCTATGACATGCCAAAATGTGTGCTGTGACAAAAGGTTAAAGTCCCTGTACACCCACACAGGTGTTTTCATTTATTCTGTCCAACAGAGGTCTGGTCAGCACATACCACCTTCACATCATTGGGGTGGACGGTAGAGATGGGAAAGATTCATTAGGTCCTCAGGCAACTAAATAATCTGAGTCATAGTTGATCATTTGAAGGTTAAAAATACTATATATTGAGTTGGATTAAATGACCTTGAACAACTGACTTTGGCTAATTTAAACCATCCGTGCTTTCAGAAAATCTGAGTTTCTCAGTCATTATTACAGTTTGGATGTTGGTGTGAATGCAGGTCCAAAACTGCTATTTACAATTGCTCAGATATGACATGAATGTGGCATCAGGCTGTAGGTTAATCCAATGCGCTAATAAAAAAGACAAAGGTGTAATTTGTCTCATCCTAACAGGTGCAATAAACTAACCGAGTAAGGTAGATGTCAATCTGTCTGTACACACCCACACAGTCCTGAGAAGTGCTCTAATCAGGCAGAATAATTAAACTGTCCTGTGTGGGTTTACCCTGGGTGTGTAGGGCCTTTAAGCCTTCAACTGGGGGTAATACATCAGGTATCAGAAGCAGTGATGGAGAGGGAGGAGACTTGAGTTAAGAGGACAGCTGTGTCTCCCCTAGTGGATCACCTGGAATAACAGCTGGTGTTTCCCAACCTTTTCCTCTTCTTCCTTCCTTTCTCCTTTCCTATCCCCCCTCCCTCCATCACCAGCATAAAGTACCCAGCATCTCATTTATATCTCATTACAGCTGAGTCAGCCACTGTAACCCACATCCACATCAGAACACACGCTGTTCATTTGCTGTCCACTGATCCAAGTTCCTTTACACACTTGGACTGCAATGAGTCACACTGAAATCCTCATCTGAGCTCAAGCAGTACATAATGTAACCCGAAGGTGAAGCCAGTCCAACAATTGACAAGTAATTGCATCATGTATCAGTAATGTAAGAACTTGTTTTTCTCTCCCATATGAACATTAAAATACTATATGTAAATTTCAGAAATGTGCTGCCGTTTCATCATGTCTCTACGTTCTAAAGGAATTTTACATATATTACTCATAGGCCTATATTTTCCACCCATACATTTTTAACTTCACTCAGCCCAAAAGAACTTTACTTATTGAACCCCAGGAGAAGTGGGAAGAGATCCACTTAAGCACTCTCCTCTTGCTAGCCTTGTTTCCAGTTTACAACAAATAATGAGGAAAAAGAAACTCAAGGTTAGACAATCCCCCAATATCTGAAAATTCAGCTTTTATAAACTCTTCAGTTCTGTATTGGATGAAAGGGTGCTAAACATGGCATCTGCAAGCCTCTTCCAACCCAGTTTCCTCATGCACTCTTTCATTAAATCTGTGTGAGCACAAAGCTCTGGGCACACACTTTCACATGATGTCACACACAGATTTATACTGACATGCAGCTCCTGGTACCAGAGCACCTTGCGCCTTTGAAGTAATCCAGGTGGATTAGTTATTGATTCTCCATCATGGCCGAACATCATCTTTGTCTCCTTTTTTGATTCACCTCTGAACAACAGGGGATAATTCACTGTCACTGTTTTTGCTCTTTCCTATTTGATCTTTGAGTGTGTTTGTGCATGTGTACAATTGGTCATATGCTTTCTGCATATAGGTTTAATGGGGTTTTATGTGTCAGTTTCATGCTCATTTATTAAAAGAGACTGCCTGTGCCGCCGTGCTTTCATTACGCATTAGAGTTTGCCTCTGTTTTATCCACTGTGAGCCTGAAATGTATTTCTTCACCACTGAGTCTTTCCCTACCTCCAGCCAAGTGGATTTATCCAGATAGACAGCTGGATAAACAGACCATTGTGGGCAGAGCTTTCAACACTGTGCAGTCTCACAAATCCTGTTGTGAGTCTCCAATGATGACAGTTTTATTTCTATAGATGGACTGGGCAGTGGTTGTGTATGTTAGAGAGTTATTATTACGTTTGTATTGGTGAAGTGTTTGAAAAAAGGGAAAGATCTGACTCAGGCCATAGGCTGGAGTCAAGTTTGTATGCAGTCATTCGTATTGTTAGTTTGTACTTAATTTACTAGTGTTTTCATTGTTCCTCTGTATCATAGTTT